TTTATGGTTGAAAAAAAAAAGTGTCAGATCGAAAATATGTTGAAATTTATTGTGGTTATCAACCCTTAAAATTTGCCAGCTTATAGATGTTTGATCTACATGAATAGCCAATTTGAACTAGTTCTATTTGCTCGACTGATGGTTGAATAAATTTATTTATTTATTTTAATCTTGGGAATAAATTGCTTTTCTAAATTTATATGAGTATGAAATTTATAATATTGTATATGTATATTCCAAGTTCCAATTGGAGTAGAATCGTAAAATGAGTATTCTGTAGTCGGTAACGCTCGACTGCAACATTCTTAATTGTTCTTTATGCATTTTTGGCATCATTTAACTTTCGAATTCGATGTGGCTCACATCCTGCTTCGCCTTCTTTGAGAAAGTACAACAATTTGTGCAAATAGAAATTAAAAACAAAACAAAAAATAAAAGGATCTCTGCTAAGATTTGTCTAGGGTTCGGTTTATTTGCATTCGCTGGCTTCGATTTCACTGGGAACTGGCAATAKATGAATGAATATGAATATGAATATGTGTGTGTTCATATGTGTGTGCGTGTGAGCAGCATTTGAAATTGGAGTGAAAGCAGAGTGCTCTATCTCACTCTCTCGATATGTCTGTCACAGCCGCCGGGCCCTAAATCAATCAGGCAAACACTTTCGAAAATATTTCTTACATAAAATTAGCTGATCGTGTTGTTGAATATACCTATATATATATATAGTGGGCATGTACATATACATGTGTTATATATAGCTCCATGTATGCTCCTACTTCACATCTCCTACTTGTCGTCAACTCAAGTGTCCTTGTACTTTAGTGTCCTGCTGATTTGTTTCTTGCTTTCTTTGGGCATCTGTGCGCACATAAATTTCAGTTTCTATATATACACATATGTATGTATATGTACGTGTGTGTGTGTGTGCTCTGTTTGAGTGCATTGCATGTGTGAGTGTGGAATTATGAATTTATGAGTGAGCGAGCGCATTCGATTAAGGAAACTTCAACGGAAATCCCTTTACAGCAGCGGAAAAGTGTCTGAAAAATATTGTAAAAGCCCTTGGGAATGCCGAAATAAATGTCAAGTGGGCAGCGCACGGAGATTGAGAGAGCTTCGCAAAGGGGTTTCCAAAACTGTTGCTTGAGCACGGTTCCTGTGAAAGAAAAAGTTATACAAGTCGAATAAGATGAAAAATATATATGCTGTAGGTATTGTTTTTGTTTAATCAATTCAATTGTCAGCAATTGAGTTGAGTTGATTGATTTTAACTTGAGCTATATGTGATTTGATATGAAGATTGATTTGTATATATGATGTAGGGTCAATGTATACAGAGTAGAATCAGGTAAGAAAACTCAAGAAAACTAAAGTTATGTACAGGAAATAAAGTTGTATATACTGGTAGACATGATCTATACAACTGCCGATATATGTACTTCATTATAATGCCCCAATATATCCATAGAGCGGATTATAATTCCATATCTATAAAAAATTCTTCAAATAACTTCAGATGCTTGATCAACTCTATTAAATACATAGTTTCACTTACTTTTCTTTTGCATTTCACATTCCTTTGATTCCCATAGGTCTCAAGGCATCGATATGGAAAACGGCATGCGCCCAAAGTGTGCATTCGCATGGAAAGAGATTTGCATGTGAGTTTTGAGAGAAATGCAACAATGAATAAATGTGAAGAGCGAAAATTGAAATTTGCCATAGGAATTAAAATTGAAAACTCTAGAAAAAAAAAAACAACACACACACATACACAACAAAGTACATTCAACAGCATAAACAGGGGCTGCACGTGCACGTGCAAAGGTATGAAAGTCTGCCAGGTACACCATTAGGCGGCATGCCAATGGGCGTTGGGGGTTGACGGGACAGTTAGCATGAAATAAAACTATATACATATAAATTTATGTATTTATATATATGTGTGTGTGTGTGTGTTTCATATAATACATATGCTTGGCTCACCCTCAATCCGAGTAAAATCAACAAATGAATCTATATGACTTTTTTTTTTGTGGAAAAAGCATTGCATTTCGCTACAGGACAACGCGATCCTGATCGGCTCCTGAGAGGGACCAATCGAGCGACCGGTTTGACGCCAACAACAACCACTGCGAATGGTGGCACCAGGGTTTTTGCTTTTTTTTTTGGTAGTCATGCTCGTTCATCAAGTATAGAGTAGAGTATATTGGCTGCTATTGTTGAAGCTGGATATCTGCAGATAAAGTTTCTGTGCTGTTTTAAAAAAAAAAAATTGTCATGAAATTCGCTGCTGCGCTCATGAAAATAGTAGTGAAAATTGTAGTAGTGTTTATGAAATGTATTGAAAATATTTGTGTCCATAAAATTAGTAGTCGTTCTCATGAAAATAGTAGCAAAATATGTAGTAGTGTTCGTAAAAATAGTAGAATATTTTACTAAGGTTCATAAAAATAGTAGTGGAGTATTTTAGTAAAGTTCATGTAAATAGCAGTGGAATATTTTAGTAAAGTTTCTATAAATAGTAGTGCATTATTTTAGTAAAGTTCCTATAAATAGTAGTGGAATATTTTAGTAAAGTTCATAAAAGTAGTAACAGAATATTTAATTGAATCAAAATATGAATATGAAATATTTTAGTAAAATTCATATAAATAATCGTGAAGTATTTTAATAAAGTTCATAAAAATAGTAGTGGAGTATTTTAGTAAAGTTCATATAAATAGTAGTGGAATATTTTAGTAAAGTTCATATAATTAGTAGTGGAATATTTTAGTAAAGTTCCTATATATAGTAGTGGAATATTTTAGTAAAGTTTATATAAATAGTAGTGGAATATTTTAGTAAAGTTCATATAAATAGTAGTGGAATATTTTAGTAAAGTCCCTATAAATAGTAGTGATGAAATATTTTAGTAGTAGCATAGAATATTTAAATTAATCAAAATAGTAATGAAATATTTTAGTAAAATTCATGTGGAGTATTTTGGTAAAGTTCATAAAAATAGTAGTGGAATATTTTAGCAAAGCTCATAGAAATAGTAGTGGAAGTGGCGTATTTGATTTTGTCAAAATACTTTTGCCATAGACTATATTCTGAATAGGAGTAGTAAGACTAGTCAAGAGTCAGCTCAGTTTTGTTTTCTTCTCTCTACCCAGCTTCGCTCTTCTCATATGGTTAAGTGTTTGCCTAAAGTTAATTTCAGCGCCATCCATTAGAATAGCTCTGGGAGCGGGTATTCAACAGTCGTTCATTCTTCAGCTGCACATTTATAGCTTGTTTGTTGTTGTTTTGATGTTTTGTTGCTGTCGCTCGGGGTCGCTCGGGGTCTCTCGGCTTTTGGGTTTGCCTGTCCGCCTAATGCCCATTGTTGGCATGTCCCGCGTGTCCCGTGCTCTTCGGCCATTGGCAGCCGCGAAAAACATCTGCTCCTGCTGCAATCGCTCAAAGTGTGCTCCTTA